AGAGACAGCAGCAGCAGCACCACCACCAGCAACACCAACAGCTGCAGCAGCACCAGCAGCAGCAACACCAGCACCAGCAGCAGAAGCAGCAGCAGCAGCAGCAGCAGCAGCTCCTCGCAGCTCAAGGAGGCGCAGGAGGGCCCGACGGGGAGCTACGAAGACAGCAGCAACAGCAGCAATAAATGCTGCTGCTGCTGCTGTTCAGCAGCAGCAGCAGCAACAGCACCAGGTGCAGCAACAGCAGCTGCAACAGTTGCAAGAGCTGCAGCAGCAGCAACTACTGCAGCAGCAACTGCAGCAGCAACTGCAGCTGCAGCTGCAGCAGCCGCTACTCCTCGCCCTCCAAGGCAACCAACAGCTCAGCAAGCTGCTCTTCAGCCCCGAGCAGCAGCAGCAGCAGCAGCAGCAGCAGCAGCAGCAGCAGCAGCAGCAGCAGAAAAGTGGTGGTGGGGGAGGTGTTAGTATAGCTTCTGTATTAACAACCCCTGAAAAATCAATACCCCTAAACAGCAGCAACAACTGCATCAGCAGCAGCAGCAGCAACAGCAACAGCAACAGCAACAGCTTCCTGTCGCTGCTTGTCTCTCCCTCTTCGTGTGTAGATATATCGGTCCCTGCCTGGGCCCCCTCAAGCGCAGCAGCAGCAGACGAAGCAGCAGCAGCAGCAGCAACTGCAGCAGCAGCAGAGGGAGCAGCCAAACAGCAGCAGCAGCAGCCGTTGCAGCTCGAAGCACGGGCATTCTCCCCGCAGCAGCAGCAGCAGCAGCAGATGCAGCAACAGCAAGATATTGAGGAGCTCAAGCAGCAGCAGCGGCTGCAGCTGGAGCTGCAGGCGCAGCTGCTGCAGCAGCTGCAGCTGCAGCTGCTGCCTCGCAGGGGTGCAGCAGCACAGGCCCAACCCGCCCCTCTGCAGCAGCAGCAACAGCAGCAGCAGCAGCAGCAGCAGCAGCAGCACAGCATCCAGCAGCAAGCTAATAAGCTGGCGGTGATGATGCTGCGTCAGCATCAGCAGAAGTATATGCAGGAGCAGCAGCGAACGATGGATCATCTGCAGCAGCAGCAGCAGCAGCAGCAACAGCAACAGCAACAGCAGCAACAGCAGCAGCAACAACAGCAGCAGCAGCAGTTGCTGCAGCAGCAGCAGCAGCAGCTAACCATGGCATATGAGCAGCAAGCAGCTGCCCCCTTGTGGAGGACTGCTGCCTCCAGGCCCCCCGGTCTGGTTCGGAAGGAAGCAGCAGCAAAGACAGCAGAAGCAGCAATGGCTGCAGCAGCCCCCAAAGGGCCCCCCGCACATC